CCTGGAGCAGGGAGCGAGATGTTTCCCAGAAGACATGCTCAGGCTCAGTTTTACTTTGCTTTGGGAAGAGTCTGCCTCAGGTGTTAGTGTCAGAGCCACAAAATTTTCATGAAGTGGGTGGAAATATAAAAGAATTATCTTCCAGGACTCAGGAGTGAGTCATCAGAGGGAAACTGGGGGAGGAATCCTCCCTCTCTGACCTGCAGAGGGTATCTCTCTGCTTGAGTTCTCAGTTCTGAGTGGTCTGCCTCTAGCTCCACCACTTACCTGCTCTGACAAGTCCTGACAAGTCTCCCACCCCCTGCCCTGAGCCTCCATCTCCCTGCCTGTCAGATGCTGTCACTGCTGCCCCCGACTGTGGTGGACAATTTCTCTCTCCTGCACAGCTTCCCTCACCCCGCCACCCCTCCCCGGAACAGGAGCCCTCTTCGCCTCCAAACACTGGGTCAGCAAAGGCTGTCATGCCTTCCATGCTCCTGTCCCACGGCCCTCAAGTGGACACCTGATTTGAGCAGGGCTGGTGAGATGCCTTCCCTGTTTTGTCCTGTTTTGTTCTGAATCAGAACTGAAAAAATGGGGGGCCTCCCTAGTGGCGCAAGGGCTTAAGTGTCAGCACGGAGCTGACCCACATGACACAGCAGACCTCTCCTGTCTCACCCGCTGCTCCCCTTAGCAGTGTATTTCAGTAGATCTGCCTGTTCTGCTCCCCACTCTGTCTCTGGTGAATCCTCTTACCCTCCCCCCCCACACGCACACCTCTGGCGTATACCCCAGCTCTTGTATGCATAAATAAATCAATCTTTGGGGGGAAAAAACTGAGAAAATGGCTGTGGACTGAGCACTCTGTTGTGTCTTTCCTAATGGCAGAGTTAGGCAGAGGGGAGGGGGGCAGAAAGGGGAGAAGTAAATCCTAAACATTGCATGGGGTGGGGGAAAGAAGTCCTGGTAGTATTCATGTCCCTGGATCCAGCCACACCTGGACCCGCGAGCTGGGCTCATAATGTGCGGTTCACCCCTCCCTTAGATTCCTGGAGTTACCTAGCTGGTTGGCATTGTTTTCTAAATATACTTTCTCACAGGGATATGCGTAGGCTCAAATGAGCTGAAGTGTGTGAAGCGCTTAGTCCAACGTCTGGCCCGATATAGGCTTAGAGGGCATGAATTCCTTTCCTTAATGGGCACTGGGCAAGGAATAGGTTTGGCAAGAGACCAGGAAGATGGGAGGCATCATTGCTCCAGAGGTGATGTAACTCAGCAGCTCTGAGGGGAATCGGGTCAGGTACCTTAGAACAGAGCCCCATGGGAGACCAAAATGAATGCCCAAGTGGAGCATTTAGTGAATAGGAAAAGATGGGGCTAAGAGAAAGACTCCTGCCCATCCCTTTGCAGGAGGAAAAGTTGTTTACTCTGTGCCAGGGATGCATGCTGGGGTCCCTGGAGTTCCAAAAAATGGGTGCCAGAAAACTCTCCAAAAGAGGGACATTTGGGTTAGGTTTTAAAGGATGAATAAGGGCCTCCCCGGTGGTGCAGCGGTTTAGCACTGGGTTGCGAAGCTACCCGCAGCCTCTGCAGCGCCGGTTCGATCCCCGGCTGCTCCCTGGCCACCGGAGGAGGGTCCCACATGGTGCGCAGACCTCTCCTGCCGCCCGCTGCTCCCCTCAGCAGTGTACTTCGGTCCTTCTGCCTGCTCTGCTCCCCGCTCTGGCTTTGGTGAATTCTCTCACCCTCCCACACTTCTGACTGTACCCAGTGCTTGTATAAATAAATAAATTAATTTAAAAAAAAAATAAAGGATGAATAAGAGTTTGCTAAACAGTGACCTTGGACTGTCACTACACAGTGTTCCCCTTCCCCCCAGAACATATACTAAAACTGTTACGGAGCAATCCCGATATAAAACGGGTTGCCTGGATGTGGGTCCTCACCCGCATGCTTAAAAGGGGCTTATGAATACTCCACTACAAGCACACACAAAAGGTGAATAAAAGGTTTATTTACAAGGGAAAAGGAAATAAGGAAAATGTACAACTCAGGGAGAAAATAGGAAAATAAAGTCTTTAATGCGTCCTACCCGATCCGCTGACCTGGAAACCTGGAAACCCAAAGGCACTCTCAGAGCTGGCCAAACCTGCGAGCTGGCAGGGAGCCAAAATCAGGGCTCTTCTCCAAAGCCCACGTGTCTGGTTTTACCAAACCTGGCTGCTTAACCCCAGCCTCAGGTCCCAGCCACCTTCCCTTTGGTGGTGATGGGATTTGGAGTTCCCAGTGTCTTTGGCTTTGGTCTGGGGTGGGGGTGGAGTCCACAAAGCCTCTATGGAATTAGCTTTAGGACAGCCTTTCCCCCTAACACTACTATTCATTAGTATATTGCTACTACTAGTGCAGAGCCCATTGGTATTCGTATCAGACAGCCTGGGTTTGAATCCTGTCTCTACCAACCTTCAGTCTCTTTTGTTTCTGTTCCTTATCTGCAGAGTAAGGAAACAGGGGCTTATTTTTAGTATTAAATGAGATAATGTATGTAAAGCACCCCAAACAATGTGCTGGCGGAAAGCTGTGGTTAAGCACTTAATCAACGCTTAGCTCATTACAAAAATCCTTACATCATCAAGTCTTATACTCATAAAAATCAAGGCAGTCACCATTTATTGAGCCCTCCATACTTCCCAGCGCTGCCCCACATGCTCAGCATGCTTGCTTGGCCTCATTTAATCCTCCCAACTTCGCGGAGGTAAGTGAGGACTATTACCCCATTAAAGGCAGAGAAACAGAAGTCCTGAGAGCTGGCAATTACACAGCGTGGAGCAACAAAACAGGGCTTCAAGTCTCGGTTTGTCTCAGGACCCGTGCCCTTGGCCCAGCGAGAGGAAGCAGCCTCCGGACACACAGCAAGGGGTTGGGGTGCCAGAAAGTCTGCACAGTCCGATTCAGCGGCAGTGTTCTGCGTGGAGACCCTGGAGGGTCTGCTCTTTACAACTGCGACATCAAAGAGCCAGGCGTGCTTGATGGAGGTCCCCGTGGCGCTGCCGAGCCCCACCCGCGCCCTCCCCCACCGCAGGGCGAAATTGGGGCTCCCCGGGCCGGAACAGGCTGAGGAAGGGCTGGCCCGACCCCACACGCGTGCGCAGGGCCGGCTTCCCCTCGGGGCTGGGGACCCGGCCGCGCCCCAGTTCCTCTCCTTTCCCTCCTACCCCCCCCCCTCCCCGTGGCTTCCGCCAAAGGTCCTTGTAGAAAATTCCAGCCTCGCCCAGCCCGGGCGTGGGGTTTTTCCAGCGGGGTAGGAGCCGTGGCCGCCAGCGGATGGTGATGGGCCGCTTCTGTCGCCCCTCCCCGGGGCTCCCCTCTTCGGGGCGCCCGCCCATCGCTGTCCCCAGGAACCTCAGCCGGCCTTGGCTTCTTGGGGACGGGCGGGCCGGCCCGGGTAGCCCAGCTCGGGACGTCCTGGCAAACAGGATATGAGACAAAGGCTCCTCTTATCGGAGCCCGCATTCCTTTCAGGTGATGCCCGCGCGTGGCCCAGGGGACGCCCCCTGTGGGGCTGCCCGCCAGGAGGAGGGCCTTCCCTCTGCCACCCTCAGCAGCTCCCACACCCAGCCTTCTAGTCTTTGGGGCGGGAGATCTCACCATCGGAGAGCCCCCTCTCCAGGCGCAGCCCCGGGGGGGGGGGGGGGGGGGCAGCCCTGGGAGGAAAGGAGAGATGAAAGCATGGGAGCCTCACGTGGTCACCCTATAAACTGTAAGGCCGCCTTAGGCCAGGGTACAAGTGTGCCCCCCTATGGGACCAGATCCTGCCCCTGCCTCAAGGAACTTGCAGCATAATGGAATAAATGAAATAAGTGAAATACTTATAAAGGAGTAAGTGAAATACTGGATGAAAGAGCAGGGTGCAGATGGGTTCAGGGAGGGGGTGTCTAAGTCATGGGGTGGGTGATTTGGGGGAAGCACAGGTTCCTTACACAGCAGGTGGCTCATCAGCAGTTCTCCATGGGCGTGGTCTAAACATGGGAACCCTGGTGCTGGCTTTAAAATATAAGTGGGGGGCCTCCTTGGTGGCGTAGGTGGTTGAGTGCCACACACTGTGAAGCTGTGAACCCACACTCTGCAGTGTGGGTTCGATCCTGGCTGGCTGGTGAGAACCCCACATGGTGTGGCAGACCTCTTCTGTCTCGCCCGCTGCTCCCCTCATCAGTGTATTTTGTCAGTCTGCCTGTTCTATCCCCCGCTCTGTCTCTGGTGAATCCTCTCACCCTCCCATGCATCTGGTCTGTACCCCGGTTCTTGTATAAATAAATAAATCTTAAAAAAAATAAAATATAAGTGGGTCAAGGCATGGGTGGGGTGGAAGGGTGCCTGGAGTAGGGACCAGCATGTGCAAAGGCCTGGTGCTCTACGTGTGTACTAGACATTTGGAAGCAGTGCAGACTCTGGAGTTGCTTGGGCACAAGGTGAAGAAGTTGGTGAGAAGGCTGGTGGGGTGGATCCTTAAAAGGCCTTAAAAGCCAGGCAGAGGCCTGGGCTTACTTTGCTGCTTGCTCTGGGACTCTGGGGGAGGTGCCAAGGGGGAGAGCTCAGAGAGGCAGGCCAGGCAAGCCCAGCCCAGGGACTGGGAAAGAGAGAGGCACTTCGCTTGGGTGCCTTGGAGAGGCTAATCTGCAGAGGCAGAGGCTCCAGCTTCTGTGGGGCCATGCCCCCTCGCCTGCTGGGCACTGGAGCCAATTCTGCTGATGGGTGGGTTGGCTCTCCTCTCAGGCAGCACTGACTCAGCGTCTGAAATGCGGTTCCCACAAGCATGCATCTCTTTGGGGGCCAAAGGCCATGCCATCCATGCCCCACTGCCAAGTGGGTCAGTGCCCAGGGCCAGGGATAATTAGGGCTGAATGGAAGCTAAGATTTCGAGTCCACCAACCATGACAGACAGCAAGGCCCAGGAAGCCCTTCTGTTCTCCAACCATAAGCCACCCCGATTCTGATCCAGCTTTCCACTCCCAGAGGTCCCAATGCACAGTGGTTATAGTTATCAATTCTTTGGTTTTATTTTAAAACAGTGAAAAGAAAAATAAATATCTCTGAAGAATAGGAGTACAAGAGTAGGGTGGGGTAGGGTAGTGGGGCTGGAGACTTGGGGGTGTCCTGGATTTGGTGGTCTCGTGTAGGGGTGGGCCCTACAGGTAGGCCTGGGATGTGCAGGTCTGCTCCTTCCAGGCCAGGCCCTGCCCTTTCCCCACTGGGAGCTCTGGGGGCTTCTCCAGCCTTGCCTGCCCACAGCTCCCAGGCTGGGCGCTGTGTCAGCGGAATCTGCTGGAGGGGTTAGACCCAGGCCGGTGGTGGCGCCCGCCTGCACCCCAGCTCCTTTGGGCAAGAGGGCGGAGCGGAGTCGCCACCCTGCTACACTCGGACTCTTCAGCCGGCCGTCCGGCGTGATGGCATGGCCTCAGTGGTGACGCATGTCCTCCATGCCCACACGGCCCCACACGCCCAGCACGAAGCTCTCGATGTCACACTCGTTGGCACCACGCAGGATGCGAAAGTGGCCCCTCTCACCCCAGCCTGGGCCCCAGGAGTTGGCTGCCGTCTGGGAATGAAGAGGGCATGGGGTGAGAGGGAGAAGGGGCTGGGGGAGGGAGCGGAGAGGAGAGGGGCCTGCCCGGAACACCACGCAGAGACTCACCCAGTATTTGAGTGTCCTTCCATCCGGCAGAGTCTCCTCGCCCCACCTGCAGGGCAGAGCGAGCCGGGAGAAGGGCGCTCACCCACCTGCCAGCAGGAGCTGGACCTGAGGCCTTCCCTATCCAGGCCCTGGCTTTTGGTGACTGAGGGGTACACCCTGCCGACTTGGTCAGCTCTCTGCTCCTGGCTGCACCCCCTTGGATCCACATCTCTAAGTGTGTATTTACTCGGCCAGTGAGGGGCAAGGCACCTCCACAGGATAAATGGAGGGTGAGCAGAAAAGGAGGGAACTGGACCTCAGTTCTCTTGGGGCCCTCATCCTAGGGACCAGTCATCTGGGACCTGACGCATCTGCTTACCCCTCGCAGCCCTCCCCTCTCCCTGGGGCACCAGGGAGGATGAGTGCCAGGGATCACAAAAGAAGACAGAGAATGTGGGTACCTGAGAGACCCCGAACCCCCACTATAAAGTCCATTTCATTGGTTGGGTAGTTGCATGGTAGTTGACTACCATGGTAGCTGGCATGGTTGTTGAAACTCTACCATGTCCCATATGTCAGGTGGGGAAGCTGAGGCCTGGGGGAGTGAGCAGCGCAGGTCACTGAGTCAGGCAGAGTTGGGACAGGTGCTGAGATGGGGAAAGGCTGAGCAATTCTTAAATCCTTCTCTATGTTTCACTGGGGTTATTTCATCTCAGTGTGAGGGAAGAAACTGTTCCTTCCTAGAAAACCTTAAAAGGTACCCCACTTTGGGTATGGCCCAGGGCAAGTGCCTCCTCTTTGAGAGTCTGGGTCTCCTCCTCTTTGAAATGGGGCTTTGCGGAGAGAGGGTAAGGATTCAAGGCAGGCTCAGAAGCCCCCATGAGGCCCCCACCCCCCCTTACTCTTGAGCCCCTCACCCTGTGATCTTGACCGAGTGGGTCCCCTGCCGTCGGTATTGCTCTGGCCTCCCCAGGCTCACTGGCGTGTGACGGTAGATGCCACCCTGGTACAGGAAGAAGTCCTCGTGCACCTCCATGAGGGCTGTGGGCAGAGGTGAAGGAGCCAGGTCAACCCATGAGCGCAGGCACCAATGTCTGAGTCTGGAGATCATGCCCAGACCCCAGGGTGTCTCTGTACCAAAACCCTAAATGCTCTCCATGGAGAGGGGACACAGCCCCCCACTTGTGCCACCAGGCACAGTCTCAAGCAGGCACAAGCTTGGGGAAGCAGGGGGCAGGGTGAGGGGCATTTACCTTGGACAGGGCCGTTCTCCATGAGCTCCTTCATGATCTCCTTCTCCTGGAGGGTGAGGTGAGAGGACGGTATCCATCAGGGGTGAGGCTCCCACTTTAGAGGCAGCCTTCCAGCTCGCTCGCCTCTGCCCCTCTCCAAGCACAGACTTACGCTGGAGCCCAGGCGGTAGGCGGGAGTGACCTGGTAGATGTCATTGGCATGGACGTGGCCGTTGGGGCAGCGGGCAGTGGCCTGGCGCTTGCCCCGACCCATGGCCCGACTGTGCATCATGCAGCGAGGTGCGTGGCCAGCTTCGTCTCTCTCACGGCCCAAGAACGGGTAGCAGTGGTCAGACACAACCCTGGAGGAGGGGCAGGGGGAGCGAGGGCGGCATCAGCATGGCACAGCATGGCCTGGACCTTCCCCAAGTCTCCTGAGCCCTGCCCCCCATGCCCTACCCATGTGGTGCCCCCTGCTGCTCACCCTCGACGTCGCAGGAACCACCAGGCACCATCCAGGTGCCCACCACGGCAGCCCTGCTGGTTGTGGGTGTCACAAGACAGCAGGTTCTGGGGTGACAAGACAGGTGTCATGTGCCCCAAAGAGTGGATTGAGACTCGATCGGACGCCACAGCTGGTGGAAAGAGGTGCGGAGGCCGTCAGGGCACTCAGGTACTGGCCCTCCTTTCCCTCCAGACCAGCTCCTGCCCTTGGATGTACCTGCCGTGGAGAAGGCCCAAGAGCCTGCACAGTTGCCCTGGTCGAGGGGTTCGTGGATCAGGTTAGGCCACTTCTCAGAGGCCTCGAAGGTCCTGGGCAGCACTTCCCCTGCCCCAGCACCGTCTGCAAGGCAAACATTCCTCTCTCTGCCTCTGCCCTGGGCTGGCTTTAGGGTGGAAGGAGCCCACTGGCCTTGAAGGATGACCAAGAAGGTGCTGGAGTCTTCCTCAACCTTGAGCCTTCCTGCTGCTGAGGGATCCCAGCAGTCTTCCACCTTGGCTGGCGTGGGAGACCCAAGCACCATTTAGTGCCTTGCTATTGTCAGGTGTGTGTGTGGTGGGGTGACTAGTCGTGTTCAACAGACGAGGCAACTGAGGCCAGGAACAGGGAAGTGGCCAGCCCAGGGTCTCTCCACTTGCAGTCCCCAACTCCTGCCTCTGTCCTCCTCTGTGCCTTCTGATCTGCCATATCCTTCCCACCAAGACCTTGCGCTTCAGGCCCCAAAGGGCAGGGGAGAGAATAAACAAGGTCTTGTGACCTGGCAGATAGCCAAGAAAAAGAGCAGGAAGCAGAAAATAGCCAGAGGCCCAGGGGAGTGAGGGCAAGGCAGGGTCTGCCTGGTCACCACAGCCTTGAGCTAAAGTCCCTCTCCAGGGAGGGCCCCTCCAGCCAGCCCTGCCTCCCCCCCGCCTGCTGCTGCTGGATGGAGGCCAGCGTGGGCCCTAGTCCTGACCTGCCCAAACCCCCCTTCCTTACCCTTTGACTATTCTGGGTCTAGTTCCCATTTCTCCCCCAGAGGGCCCTGCTGGTGGGAAGGGAGAAGCCCCCTCCTCCCTTGGGGTTCCACTGAGTCAGCATTTGTTTCTGAGAATTGCTACTCTCTGGCCAGAACTGGAGGAGTATCTGTCCCTCCCATCTCAAAATACCAAGGTGACCTCCCGGCCCCTTGGGCCCTGATCCAGCCTCTCTGCGTCCGCAGCTTTGTTCCCAGGCTGGGAGGCCGAGGGGCTGATGCTGGGGCCACAAAACTCAAAACCTGAGCATCAGTTCTTGCCGCCAGCACGTCTGTTCCAGGCAGGGGCAAAGGAGAGGGACTTGCCCAGAGAGACACAGCTGACGGGCGGGGTAGGCCCAGGCTCCTGCAGGAACAGGGCCAGGGTCCCAGCCCAGGCGGAGATGGGTTTGAGGGCAAGGACAAACTTACGTGAATTTCATTCATGTTGGTGACAGAGGAAGATGGGCGGATGGTGCCCAGGCGGTAACGAATGCCTTCATCCAGGGTCATGCCCCAGAAGGCACTGTGGTTCCCGGCCCGCCACCTGCAGGAGAGGAGATGGAAGGGAGTCACAGACCCGCCGGGCTGGGGGTCCTCCAGGTACATGCATGTGGGTGGGGAGACACATGCCAGCTAAGTGCACACAGGAATAAAATCTGGGCACGGGTGCACTGGGACGACATGCATCTGGGGCAGGGTGTGTGTGTGTGTGTGTGTGTGTGCGCCAGAAAGTATTTCCAGGGCCTCACCCGTAGTCGCCCTGGTTGATGGCGTTGATCATGTCTTGGTCCACCAGGCATGGCTCCTGGTCACACGCCCACTGCCCTTTTTCCTGGCAAGTGCTGGTGCAGACAGGAAGGAAGGAAGAGGTGAGTGGGGCTCAAGTGCTTTCTATTTTTATTTTTTTTATTTTTATTTATTATTTTTTTAATTTAAACATACTTTTTTAAAAAAAAAGATTTATTTATTTATTTATACAAGCACTGGGTACAGTCAGAAGCGCGGGAGGGTGAGAGAATTCACCAGAGCCAGAGCGGGGAGCAGAGCAGGCAGAAGGACCGAAGTACACTGCTGAGGGGAGCAGCGGGCGGCAGGAGAGGTCTGCATGTCATGTGGGACCCTCCTCCGGTGGCCGGGGAGCAGCCGGGGATCAAACCGGTGCTGCAGAGGCTGCGGGCAGCTTCACAACCCAGCGCTCAACCGCTGCGCCACCGGGGAGGCCCTCAAGTGCTTTCTAAAAGGTGAGGGCTCAGTGGTCAAGGTGGGCCAAAGATCTGTACCAGCATCTCTGGGAGGAATCTAGATGATTCCACCCAGGCCTGGAGGCTTTAAACAGCAACTTCAAGCTGACTATTCGCAAGCATCTCTCCCTAAACTCCAGTTTCAAATATCTTGTTGCTACTCATCCCTACGGGGGTGTCTAACTGCCCGGCAATTGTAACATTCCCAAACAGAATTCCTGATCTGCTTCTTCTTCCCCGGCTCCTCCCACAATCCTCAAGAAAAAAAAAAAAAAAAAATGGCCCTTCTTCCTAAGGCGTGGCCAGAAGCCTGAGGGTCACCCTCTACTCCCGAGCCCATCCAATCCACTGGCAAATCACTCTCTCCTGAGGCCACCAAGGTCTGGTCCCACCACCTTTCACTTGGGTCATGTGGCAGCTCCTCACTGTTCTCCTGGATTCTGCCCTGCACCCCCTTCACTATGTTTTCAACACAGTTGCCACTGTGATCAGGTTAAACCCAAGCCCCATCATGTCACCTGCCCAGAACTCTGCTGGCTTCGAACGACAGAATTAGAGGCAAGGTCCTCCCCGTGCAGACAGGCCCTGTCCCCCTGTTCCCCTCCTCTTCATCCTGGTTCTCAAGACCCCAGCAGCTTGGTCTCCTGACTGCTCACACCCCAGGGCTCTGCCTCAGGGCCTTTGGTGCCTCCAGCCTCCCTGGTGGCTCCCTCGCACTTCTTCCAGGTTTTATTCAAATGTCACCTGGGGAAGTGCCGCCTGCCCACGCCCTATCTTAAAAGTCCCGCCCTCCACTTTTCTGTTTCATTTTTCTCCTAAACATGTGATCACTGTCCAATGCTATTTATTTCTACTGTTTATGTCTATTTCCTTATAGACTCCAAATTCCTTGAGAACAGGTATTGTTTGGTTTCTTTGGTACCTAGAAAACAAAACCTGGCATATCGTGGGCACCCAGTCATTATTTGTGGAACAGACAGGTGGATGGATGAATGAACGAGGCAGTGCAGTGGAACCCTAGGCGCTAAAATTCTCTCTTCTCGTCTGCAAAGTGAGGATAATAATAGTTCCACCTTCCAGGGATGAAAGGGCAGGCTTATAAAGCACTTATCACAAGGCCTGGCCCATCGTTAAGTGCTCAAAAATTGTCAGCTACTGTTGTTCTCATTATAGGAACCCCCTCTCGAGTTTCCGACTGATAGCCAACTGGCCTCCTGACAGTCCTCTGGGTGTGTAAAGGGCCACCCCAAGCTTAAAAGGGCCCCTAAGTCTGCTCCTCCCCTAACATCTTCGACCCAGAAATGGCACCATATCCTCCCAGGTGTTCAAAGCAGAACTCCCTGCCTCCCCACCCACCACCGGTCTGATCTCCCATCAACAGGTCTTAGGGTGGCACATCACAGAAGACTGAATTCATCTGCTCTCCCCTTTGCAGGTCACTTCCCATCTGGACCATGCAGTGGCTTCCTAACCAGCTCCCTGCCTCTTTATGATCCCCCCAAGCTTCCCCTGAAGCCAGAGGAGTCTTTGAAGAACACAAATCAGAGGGTATGCTCTCCAAGTGGCTTCCCACGACACCAAGAACAAATACAAAATCCCCGCACCACTTATGAGACCCATGGGACGCGGCCTGCCCCTCCTTGGGGCCTCTGGCCCCCTCCACAGCTCTGACTGCAACCAGCACCATCCCGCCCCCCACCCCCCCCAGTTCCCCCCAGGCTCCCTCTGCCTTGGCCTGGGCCACTCCTCCTTGATATCCATCGCCCTAGTGTCAGCATAAATGTTCCTTCTAGAGAAGCCTTCCCTCACCCCACCCCACTCTAAACCAGCACCCCCATTATTCTCTCTTCTCTCCAATCACACGCACAAACAGGCTGTGATGATGCCTGTGTGCATGGTCTGTCACCTTTGGACCAGACACTCCTGCACAAGGACAAGGAGCGGGGAGTTCCGGCTGCATGTCCACACCACGCCTGGCACACAGTTGGTGTTTAATAAATAGGTGTCCACGGGCAGATGAATTCTATGAATGCAGTCCTACTTCAACAAGCGCATAACTCTGCTATTACAAGATGCTTCAACTGCCTCCTTCCGAGCCCACAGAGGCTCCCGCCTCCAATGTTGCCTTTTAAGGAGCCTCCAGGGGACTGAAGCCCAGTATGGCTGTGCTCCCCAGCCTGAGGAGCTGGCGGGGTGCTTTCAGGAAGGGCTGGCCGGAGGAGACTGTGGGGGTGGGAGCTCTCCTCACCCTTCCCTTCCTGTGGGCACTGTGGAGGCACTATCGAGGCATCCCTCGAGGGCGCAGAGCCTGGAAGGCCCACAGATACCGCCGCCCCTCTTCTCCCTCCCCCTCAGGTGTCCAGTGCAGGGAGCAGCTGGCCCAGGGGCCAGTGGGTTGGTCAGTCTTTTCCTGCCACCTCCCTCTGTGCCCCAAGGCTGCCAGAGCAGGTCTAGACAGGGCTGGTGGCAGCATGACTCCAAAGGGGTCCAAGTCCCAGGAACAGGAGTTAACCCTTCAGTGTCCAGAAGCATCCTATCTAGACCAGCAGATCTGTGCAGGCACATTCCGTAAACACTCTCTCTCTCTCTCTCTCTCTCTCTCTCTCTCTCTCTCTCTCTCACATTCTCTCTCACCCAGATGCATGCTGAAATGCACGAGTCCCCACTCTCACTGCGACCCAGGCACCCCGCACGCAGGCCAGTGAGGCAATGGGAAAGGCTTATGCATATTGCATTCCCAAAGGTTTCCTCCTCCCTGAGGCCTCTCAGTCCCAAGCAAAGAGGACCCGGGATGGAGTGGGTGCAGGGCCTCCCCTACTGCTAAGTCGCAGGGTCCCCGTTATTTCCCTGAAGTCATTCAGGATTTCCCTCTTAATGCTTCTCCACTACCCACCTCAGACCTCAGGATAGCTAGGGGGCACCCCTGAGCCCTTCACTCCTGGGAAGAAGGGGCTGGGGAAGGGGAGGGGCCACATTCCAGGGAAGGCCCTGCTACTGGGAGGCTGGCCTCCAGCTCAGCCATCCCTGACCCTCATCCGGTCCAGGGGCAGCGGATGCAGTAGGTTTCCTTCCTGGCGCCCCCTTCTCAGACTCTCTCTTGACATGGAAAACGATTGGGAGCACAGAAATCCATCCTGAGCTAGAGAGGTGGGGAAGGAGGCCCAGCTCAGGGGCTGTGTCTGGGGTCAGGCATCCCAGGTCGACCACACATATAATTTGATGTGGTCAGTATAAAAGTTCTCGTGTTACAGATGAGGAAACTGAGACTCAGAGAAGGAAAAGCACTTGCCCCCACAAGTAAGGTCTGGGGGTGGGATTTGAACCAAGTCTGTTAGCCACCAGGCCCACCAGGCAAGTGCCCGCCAAACCCCAAACACTCACCAACGGTTACAATTGTCCCAGTAGGTTCCGAAGACCGGGTAGAGGCGGCCCCCATGCATACATCCTGCAGGGAGGGAGGAGAGAAGAGAGATGGACCCAAGACCAGAGGCAATGGGCTGAGATGGTCAGGTCCTCAGAGGTGAGTTATTCCAAATACACATACACACACACGCATGCACGCACGCACGCATGCACACACCCCAGCCCTCACTGAAACTAACACTCAAGGCGTCTCCTGCAGTTGCACACCAGCTGCTACCTGGGAAGCTTCTCAGTGACTAGGCTTCCTCTAGCTGCATCTGGATACCATCCAACACACCTTAAGTCCTGTGCTTTTTAAATGAGTTGGGGGCTTGGAGACAGGGAATGGGAAGAGAGTGCTGAGGCCCAAAGAAGGGAGTCGCAAAGAAGGGCAGTGACTCCCTAACATAGATAACCCAGCACTTTGGGATGACAAGCCAGGTACAGCCTCACACCCGCAGCCCCACAGGATTGTGGGAAGGAATTCAAGTGATTCGCCTATTGGACAAGGACAAGTGCATGGAAGAGGGTGGTAGTGAGGGCGGAAGGCAGGAACAGGCTGGAGGCAGGAAGCTCCCAGTGCCCGGTGGTGGCCCTCTCAGGGGTAGAGAGCCCTGAGCAACGACAGAGAAGTGGCTAAGATGACCGTGACCAACCCCATGTGCTTTATCAGCCAAGGGTGAGTCAGCAGGCGGGGCCAGCACCTTCCCAGTCCAGAATGGAGACAGGACTGGGAGAAAGGGCAGGAGGCTGCCTTCCTCCTGCTCAGCTTAGAACCCCACTGAGCAAGGATTTTCTCGCTTTCAGTCTTGCTGGAGAGATTCAAGTTAGACCAGAGCAGGGACTTCCCAGAGGGCCAGCGAATGGGGCAGGTTCTCGGGCCTCTTCCCCAGATTCTTCAAAGCCTCCCCTGGAAATGCCAGGGCATCAGCTTTGTTCCTGAGCCTTGCTGGGTCTGGGTTGACAAAGTGACCCCCCCTCCTGGCCGCTGGTGCCCACCTGGGATGGGGGGGAAAGGAGGCGGCACGCCAAGGCAGAAGTCCCAGAAGTCAGGGCAGCAGTCAGAGACCGTGCGGTTGCAGAACAGGTCACAGTAACAGGTAGCACCCAGGTAGGGCATGGCGCATTCGTCCTCACGGCCACGGCAGCACAGATCCCGCTCCTGGCAGTACCGGCCACCTGCATCCCGGATGCCCCGCAGGTGCAGAGCAGGAGCGAGCTCCCGGCGCCTGCGGCCCCGCCCTACACCCAGGGCCAACTCCCTGGCCAGCAGCAGCAGCAGCAGCAGCAGCTCCGGAGGACATCGCCACATGGTGACTCCTGGGCTTAGGGAGGGCAGAGGTCAGGGGTCAGAGGGAGGGGGCAGCAGACACTCAGGGACTTATCTCCTGCTTTCCTGGGGCTGTGACTCCTGAGGGTTCAGCAGGGTCAGATGATTTCTGTGTCCCCAAGCACAACACGGCAGAGAAACCAGTTTATGGGCCGGGGCTTACAGGGGGAACCGGACTGGGCAAGAAATGGATCCTCCCTGACCTGCTTGGGACCTGCAGGGAAGGGAGGTGGGGAAGGTGGCACTCAAGGCGTCCCCACTCAACACCCGCACTTGAGACACTTGGCTCCTCTCCCATCCTGCGTCCCTGGGCCCTCGGCAGCCTCCATCCCTGGGTGCCCCACTCTAAGCTCGGGTGTGAGCCTCCCTCTGTCTTTGCCCTGCCCTGTCCGCCCGGCCAGCTCCACTCTCCCTCTCTGCCACCTGGCCGGGTCCCTTCGCCTGTTTCTTCTCCTACACCCTCTCCCTTCCCAGCAGAGGAGAGCGCCTACCTGGGGAGGGTGTGGGCCGGGCCCACACAGCCCCACGAGCCTCCGCCTCCCGGCTCGGCGACTGCCTGACTCTCAAAGTCAAGAGCGCGGCGCGCGGGGCGGGTGGCTTTTGTAGGGCCCCGCCTGCGCCCCGCCCTCGGGGCTGGTGGGGGGCGGGGAGGGCCCAGCCCGTCTCACCTGGTGCAGCCCTGCAGGCAGCTCGGAAGCCGGGACCGGTGAAGGGCAGCGAGCACGGGGCTGTCCCCGCCGGATGCCCGCGGGAGCCGTCCCTGGGGGGAACTCCTGCCAAAGCAGGGAGGACTGTGGTCGGACGCCAGGGAGGACTTCCCAGGGGGCCTCCCGCGGAGCGCCGGCTGGAGGGGGTTGGGGGGAAGAGGAGGCAGGGTGGCCGCGGGACGCCCGGATTTGGTCCTAAATCTTGGAAAGTGTAAGGAGCACGTCGGAGGGAAAAGTTTCCAAGCCCCCCTTTGACTCCTCAGTGAAGAAAGCAGCCAGGCACATCCGTGCGCTGGGTGCCCCCAGGCTGCCCACTACCCCCAGATCTCTTCAGTTCCCAGGAATGATCGGCATCCGGAGAGGATGGTTTAGGACCCTGCAGACGCCTGCAGCCGCCGAGCTTGGGCAGTGTGGGTGTGCCGAGGGCCGCCTCCTGCTCGCTGACCCCTCTCGGGGTTTGCCCTCCCTCCTGCTCTGCCTGGGCACACTTGACAAGCACCCCTGCAGCCCCGAGGGCATCCTGCTTGGCACCTGTCTCCCTCCAGGGCCCAAAGGCAAGAGCCCTGCCAGCTGGCACCCCCTGCAGAGCCCCCCTTCCTGCCCTAAGCAAAAGCCCTTCCTCTCCCCCCTGGGCGGGTCTGGGCCCCAAACAATGGGGCTTCTGTCCCACCAGGCCTGCTGTCACCTTTTACCTTCCCTTGCGCAACCAACAGCTTGGGTCCCAGCCAGAGGACTCCAACAGCAGGAAAGATGAAAGAGACAACACCTGGACCGATGCCCCATCCCAGGCCTGAGCCCCACATGCCACCCCTGGTGAGGGCATGCCTGTCTGGGATTCCCTTTGCCCTCCCCCCCACTTCCCTGCTCTCCTCCCCAGTCCTGGGGGAGGGGAGGGGCCAGGACAATGGGCATCTGTGACTGGGTTACCCCCTGCCAGGGGACGCTGGGTGGTGAGTCACCAAGGGGGTCCAGCCCTGGGGGAGGGGGTGTTGGGTGGGGGAGCAATGTCCTAGAGCCCCAGGATTGGCACTAACACACACCCTGGAGCTGGACCATCTGCTCCCTGCAGGGATCTGGGATCACAGTGCCTAGCGGGAAACTGAGGCTCAGAAAGCAGGTTTGTCCCAAGTCTCACAGCCAAAACAAGTCCTCTCCCTTCCCCCCACCCAGTCGCCCTTAGCTACCCACCAGATGTCTCAACACCCTTTCATCTTCCTGCAAGGGGGGCCTCTCCGTACTGGAACCTTCTACCCTCCAGGGCAAGATGGAGACTGCCCTCAGAAGTGCTCCTTCCCAGAGTGCCCACTTCTGTCAGTTTCGTGGGGCCCTGGGGCTGGAGGCTTGCCCGAGGGGACTGGCCTGTCCTTTGCCCCAAGACATCCCCGTAGGTCACCTGTGTGAGTCTGCAACATGTGCGTGATTATGTGTGCATGTGTGTGTGCAGGGGTGACTGTGAGCTGTTCCTGCCTAAATGTCTGTCTATGTTGAGTCTGCTGTCTCTCTACTTACCTGTCCATCTGCTTTGCGCTGTGTATCTATTTGGATGTTGCCTCTGTCAGTCACGCATCTCTGTCTGTGTGTGTTTCGCCTGTTTTTGTGAGCTTGTTGGCTTGTCTTTCTAGTGTGGATGCTGCAGGAATTTGTGTCTGTTTGGGGGTGATGGCGGTCTGTCTGTCCTTGCCTGTCTGTGCAGGAAAGGCAGGAACACCACTAGGGAAGAGAGCAGAGCCAAGGGCACGGCTCGGGGGTCCCTTGTCATCACTGAGCTTGGCGCTGAGCCCACCCGTGACTCACAGTTTCTCTGGCCAGAGAGAAGAGGAAAAGGGCTGGGCTGGGAGGGAGCTGGACACCTCAGTTTCCTTTTCCATGGCCCTTACCCCCTGGTAACTGACCCTCTGTCTTACTCTTGTCCTAGGGCCTGGGGCAGAACAACAGGTGAGGACCCTTTGGGCCCTTTTGCCTCCAGGAGGCAGGAGGCCTGGGACTCAGCGGTGGCTCTGTGCTTCCTCCCTCGTGGCCCTGAGCAGCCGCCGACCTGGGACCTCTGGACCTGGATGCTCCCCCAAGGCCCTTTCATGCTCCTTCCTCTCTGTAGGAGAAGGTGAAACAGAAAGTGATGTGCTTAGGTCACACGACCCAGCAAAGACCCCACTCCTCTCCTTTCCCCTGGGATTCAAACACCCCCCTCCACCTCCCCAAACTCACAGCTGCTCTGGGTGCTCAGAATGGGCCTTTCTCCTCTGGAGGCTGAGCAGGGCCTTCCAGGAAGACAAGAACCCATTGTGTTCTGCTTGACCCAGGTCTGCGGCCCAGGACACACTGTTTGACGCCTGGAGCCCCCCCGTGGTCAGCAGGACATGGCCAGAACTCGAAGCAGTGATGCTGGAACAGAGGCTGAGAGCCAGGCCAAGCCTAGTGATGTAGTGTGCTGGGCCGTGTCCTGACACGTCGGACTTCCTGAGGCCTGCAGGGCTATGTTATAAGTCACTGCCTGCAGGGCTGGGTGACAACAGAATGTTGCCATGGCGGCTGGCGCTCGGGGGAGATAAGATTGGCCGCCACGTGGAAATGGCTAAACCACGCCAGGCCGTGGCATGCGCTCCCGATTTTCTCCCCTTCAGTGAGTATTTACTGAGCATTTACTATGTGCCAGGCGCTGTGCTAGGCGAGGCATGTGCAGGGTTGCGCCAAACAGACGCAGGTGCTGCCGTGGCGAAGTTGGCGACCTGACGGTGAGGCAGACTAGTAATTAAACAAACACCAATCCCTCCCCAAGGGAGAGTGCTAGGAAAGCAGGAATATGCGGTAGATCCTGGATCATGCGGCGGGTGGCCAAGGAGGCCTCAGGGAGGAGATGGCATGAGACAAAGGAGAAGAAAGTGACTATTCTAGATCTGGGTTAGTCAGGTCAGCACAAGCGACCCCCTGACCCCTGGCATGAGCTGGTCTGTTGGAAGAACAGAAGAGAGCCGGGGCAGCGTCACTATAGGGCGGGAGGGAGGCTGCAGGCACGGGCCGCAGGCTGCTGTCAGGAGCTGAACTGTCTCCTGGCACTGAAGAGGCTTAAATGCAGTCAAGCTGTCACCGGAGTCCCCTGAAAGCCCGCTCGGACGTTCTGCAGAGCACAGAGGTCTACAGAGCAACGGTGCGGCCGGAGGCAGGCAGGAGGCAGCGGGGTAACCCAGGCTAGAGCTGCTGAGGCTGGACAAGCCAGGTGGCTGTGGAGATCAAGAGAAGGACCCTTTCCAGACCCATCCTGGAGGTGGGGTTCCAGGACCGGCAGAGTGGGTCAAAGGCTGAGAGAGAGGAGATGCCTCTGCTCCTCTGCTCCTGCTCCCACTGAGAAGCGAGGCTGAGCCAGCCGGCTTTCACCCCAGCGAGTGTCCAGCTCAGACTGGAGAAGCCACGGGAGGGCTGAGCCTCAAGACGCCATGTTAGAGGTTGGAGAGGAGGGAGTAGCCAGGGCACTGAGCAGGAGCGGCCCGGGGGGTAGGAGGACAGCCAGATGAGGGAGATGTCAAGAAGCTGAGAGGACATTGTTTCTAGAAGGAGGAGAGCTGGGCTGTGTGAAATGCTGTATGGGATGCTGTGTGCGGGTGGCCCCTTTGTCCCGTGTCCTCGCGAGGCCTGTCAACCGTGTACTTGCAGGTTGAGTTGTGCTGGTTAGACCGGGATCTGCTAAAGCTGGCCACTGGCTCCCACTCAGTGGTCCCCAGGTGTGGGGATGAAGGGCACGGAGACGGTCAACAGTGACGTTCATCAGTTCTGAAAGCGAGCCTGGTTTCGTGGGAGAGAGGTGTTCTGAAGGACAGCCACGCGCCGAGAAGAACAGGCGAGGCCCAGAGCCCGAGAGCTCCGCATGCTCATTTATGAACCTGCTCTCTCCCACCGGCAGGGCGGTCCCCAGGCCAAGCCTCCAGTTCACCAGTTCCTAAATCCATCTCACTGCACAGACGTGGGATTTAAAGAGAGACATGGGGAAGGGGGCTGGTTAATTTCCCACATGACCCGCCTCTACCAGGCGGGTGCATCCCGGGGAGAGGAGAGCAGCGGAAGGAGGTTCTGGATCAACAGGCCACTGGGGTATTTTGAAACTTGAATATTTTGTCTTGTGCAAAGTAAGAACTTGGACTCCTTGGTGGCACAGGGGTTAAAGACAGTGCTATGAGGCTATCGCCAGCCACTGCAGCACAAGTTCAATCCCTGGCAAGGGAGCTGACCCACATGGCACAGCAGACCTCTCCTGACTCACCTGCTTCTCCCCTCAGCAGTGTATTTCAGTCAGTCTGCCTGTTCTGCTCCCCACTCTGTCTCTGGTGAGTCCTCTCACCCTCCCCCGACCCTGCACCTCTGGCTTACACCCCAGTTCTTGCATGCATAAATAAATCTTTAAAAAAAAAAAAGATAGGGCCTCCCTGGTGGCACAAGGGGGTAAGCAATGCACTATGAAGCAATCCACAGCCTCTGCAGCATGAGTTTGATCCCTGGCTAGCCAGAGAGCAACCCACAACAGGAAGCAGACCTTTCCTGACTCTCCTGCTGCTCCCCTCAGCAGTGTATTTCAGTCAATCTGCCTGTTCTGCTCCCCACTCTGTCTCTGGTGAATCCTCTCACCCCCTGCATCTCTGGCCTGTACCCCAGCTCTTGTTTGCATAAATAAATAAATCTTAAAAAAAATTTTTAAAAGATAAAGAACTCATCCAAGTACCCTCAGACACACAAGTGTGTGTGCAAGCACACACACACACACACACACGCTGCTGGAAAGGTTGAGTAAGTTCAAAACAGAGATGTGTCCACAAGTTCTGGCGAAAGGACCCTGGAGCAGTGATGAGCGCAGTCTCGGTGGAAGGCTGAGGGTGGAAGCCGGCCTCTAACGGGTCAAACAGCAAATGGGAGGCAGTAACTCGGGGAGACCAATTTGTGGTTGACCAAAGACCAGCGACAGGGAGATGTGACAGAACAGGGAAAGCTGAGTTTCTCACTTCTGCATTTCCCCACTTGCACCAGCAACCGATGACCGCAAACTCTACCAGATAGTCCTGGAAGAGTATCGGCTCCTGCAGAGGTCCTGCTGTGTCCCCCACACTGTGTGACCTGGGCAAGCCAGAAAGTCAACGACGGGTGACTTTTTAGGAAGGTTCACTACAAAGGGAAGCAGCAAAATGGGGCAGGCACTGGAGCAGAAGAGGGAGGCAAGGGAGGGTTTAGTCCAAACATGGAGGACACAAAACTGTTTCAACACTGGCGGCAATGACTGGTCGAAAGGGAGGAAGTGATGACACAGGGCGAGGATCACCCAGGAGCAAAGACCTTGATAAAAGTAAGAGGGGAGGGGACCAGAGCATGGAAGACAGAGCTGGTCTCTGATAGCAGCAGAGACAATGATTTGAGGGCAGAAGAGAAGAGAAGGTGGATTGGTAGAATTGCCTTGCAATAAGAGGAACTTTCTCCTGTGGTTTCTATGTTTCCAGTGGAGATGGTGAAAGTTACAGCAAAGTGGGGGAGGGGATGGAGGCTCCAGAAATAAATGGGAAACAGTTATCACAGCCAAGCGGCCAGAGAGACACAGAGGATTTCCGGCAGTGGGGAGGAACCCTGAGTTTGCAGTGACCCTGGCCTGCCAGTGATAGCATGTTATCTGGCTTGCCCAGCATGTGCCAAGCATGGGCCTCTCCCCAGATAATCCTATTATCTTGGGAAGGTCAAGACTAAGACTTTTCTGGCTTGCCCAGGTCACACAGCGTGGGGGACACGGCAGGACATCTGCAGGAGCCGAAACTCTTCCAGGGCTATCTGGTAGAATTTGTGGTCAATAGTTGCTGGTGCAGGTGGGGAAATGCAGAAGAGAGAAACGCGGCTTTCCCTGTTCTGCAACATCTCCCTGTCGCTGGTCTTTGGTGCGTACGTCTCATTTCCTTGTGAAGTCTGTTTGCTGAGCAATCATGCCGTTTCTTCCTCTTCGTCTATATCTAAATTACTAGTCTCTTTTAACCGCAGGCCAGGAGGATTGCAATATTAGGAGTTAACGGCTAGCCTTCTTCTCTTAATTACCTGCCCTCCTTCCATTCAGTATCATTTTCACTAAAGAAAGCCTCCCCTGGGCCTCCCTGGTGGTGCAGGTGGTTGAGCACTGCACTATGAAGCTGTCCGCAGCCTCTGCAGCGCAGGTTTGATCCCTGGCAAGGGAGCTGCCCGGCCAGGGAGCTGCCCGCATGGCACAGCAGACCTCTCCTGTCTTGCCCACTGCTCCCCTCAGCAGTGTATTTCTTTTTTTTTCCCAATATTTATTTATTTATACAAGAACTGGGGTACATTCAGAGGGGCAGGAGGGTGAGAGAATTCACCAGAGACAGAGCGGGGAGCAGAACAGGCAGACGGACTGAAGACACTGCTGAGGGGAGCAGCGGGTGAGACAGGAGAGGTCTGCTGTGCCATGTGGGCAGCTCCCTGGCCAGCTGGGAATCGAACCCGCGCTGCAGAGGCTGTGGACAGCTTCACAGCACAGGGCTCAACCTGCTGCGCCACCGGGGAGGCCCAGCAGTGTATTTCAGTACATCTGCCTGTTCTGCTCCCCACTCTGTCTCTGAGGAATCCTCTCAACTCCCCCACACCTCTGGCCTGTACCCCATTTCTTGTATGCACAAATAAATCGAAAGAAAGAAAGAAAGAAAGAAAGAAAGAAAGAAAGAAAGAAAGAAAGAAAGAAAGAAAGAAAGAAAGAAAGAAAGAAAGAAAGAAAGAAAGAAAGAGAGAAAGAAAGAAAGAAAGAAAGAGAGAAAGAGAGAGAGAGAGAGAGAGAGAGAAAAAAAGAAAGAAAGAAAGAAAGAAAGAAAGAAAGAAAGAAAGAAAGAAAGAAAGAAAGAAAGAAAGAAAGAAAGAAAGCCAGCCTCCCCAGTTGTAGTAAACTTGGTGTTATCACCACCAAACATCTTAGAAAGCTGGTACTATCTTCCTGTGCCTGTTTACAGAAACATTTCCACACTTCATTTGACGTTTCCGGGAAGTCCTGATCTTCCCAGCCAGGAGCATTCATAAATGACTCCTGAAAACTACTGGAGACTCTTCTGTGGCTGCAAGCACATTTTATGTTTTTTCCTGTCCAATTTTATTGAGAAACAACTGACATGCATCATTGTATAAGTTTACAGTACACCACATAATGGTTTGATTTATATATATTATGAAAACATTGCCGCAATAGGTCTAGTTATCACCCATCATCTCATATAGATAAAAAGAAAAGGATAAAATTTTCTTCTTGAGAAACCCTACAATCTGCTCTCAACTTTTATAAGCATCATATAGTAGTGACAACTAGGGCCATCATTTGCCCATGCACCCCTAGTACTCCATTAGCTTATAACTGGACATTTGTACCTTTTAATCACCTTCTTCAATTCCCCTTCACCCAGCCCTCACCTTTGGTAACCACAGATTTGATCCTTTATCTTTGAGTTTGGTATTTTTTTCACTTTGGGTTTGTTTATGGTTTTGGTTTTTTAGATCCCACAAAAAAGCCAGAGTCTGCCACAATTTTTCTGTCTCTGCCTGACTTATTTCGCTTAGCATAATACTGTCAATGTTGTCCAAACAAGGTAAGATTTCTTCACTTTTTATGGCTGTATAGTATTCCATGGTGTATAGATGATATATATATATATATATGCAATTTCTTTAGATTTTTATTCACTGATAGACACTTAGATTCTATGTCTTGTTTTTTTAATAATGCTACTATGAACATGAAGGTACAGATAGCTCTTTGACATAGTGTTTTTGATTCCCGTAGATGTATTCTCAGAAGTGGGATTGCTGGATTATATGTAGTTCTATTTTTAATTTTTTGAGAAAGCTCCATACTGTTTTCCATAGTGGTCATGCCAATTTACATTTCCCCTCACCAGTACTTGTTATCTCTTGGTTTTTGTTTTTTTTTTTTATAGTAACCATTCTGACAGGTGTGAGGGAGGGTCTCATTGTGGTTCTGGTTTGCATTTCCCTGATAACTAGTGATGCTTAACATCTTTTTGTGTATCTGTTGGCCATTTGTATGTCTTCTTTGGAAAATTATCTATTCAGGTCCTTTATCCATTTTTCAAATTGAGTTATTTGGGGCCTCCCTGGTAGCACAGGGGGTTAAACAACGCACAAGGAAACAATCTGCAGCCTCTGCAGCATGAGTTCGAACCCTGGCCTGCCAGGGAGCAACCCACATGGCACAGCAGACCTCTCCTATCTTGCCCGCTGCTCCCCTCAGCAGTGTATTTCAGTCAGTCTGCCTGTTCTGTTCCCACTCTGTCTCTGGTGAATCCTCTCACCCACCCCCTGCATCTCTGGCCTGTACCCCAGCTCTTGTATGCATAAATAAATAAATCTTTAAAAATAGATAAATAAATTAGGTTATTTGTTAACGTCTTTTTTAGATTAATTAATTTATTTTGACTGTTGAGTTGTAAGAATTTTCCACATATTTTGGATGTTAACTTTTCCACTCCTTAGGTCATCTTCTCACTTTGTTGATGGTTTCTTTTGCTGTGCAGAAGCTTCATAGTTTAGTGTAACCCCACTGTCTATTTTTAATTTTGTTCTTTGTACAGATTTACTTTTTAATCTCCAAGAAGAAAGTGATAAAGCCCCAATAGTTGGGTGAACCAATCCAATAGTCACTTTTCAGAGCTGGAGGGAATACTATGCTGTGGCCCTAGTGATGTAATGGTTGAATATGGGTCACCCCAAAAGATATGTCCTTGTCCCAATCCCTGGAAACTGTGCATGTTACCTTATATAGAAAGAGTTCTCGTAGGTGTGATTAAGTTAAGGATCTTGATTTTTTTTAAGATTTTATTTATTTATACAAGAACTGGGGTACAGGCCAGAGGCACGGGAGGGTGAGGGGATTCACTAGAGACAGAGCGGGGAACAAAGCAGGCAGACAGATGGAAATACACTGCTGAGGGGAGCAGCAGGCGAGACAGGAGAGGTCTGCTGCGCCATGTGGGTATCTCCCTGGCTGGCTGGAAATCGAACTGGCACTGCAGAGACTGTGGACAGCTTCACAGCACTGCGCTCAACCCCGCTGTGCCACCGGGCAGCCCCTAGGTTAAGGATCTTAAAGTGAGATCATCCTGGATATCTGGGTAGACCCTAAATCCACAGGTACATGTTCTTGTAGGAGACACAGAGGGACACAGACAGAAGAGATGGTGTGACCCTGCACACAGAGGTAGGAGTGGTGCAGTCCCAAGGCAAGGAGCACCTGGGGCCACCAGATGCTGGAGGAGGCGTGGAACCCCCTCTTCCCTAGAGCCTCCAGAGGGAACGCAGCCCTGCCCACACCTTGATTTGACTTGAAATTTCTGACCTGTAGAGTTATGAGAAAATTAATTTCTGTTGTTTGTAAGCAGCCAAACTTCTGAAATTTTGTGACAGCAGCCCTAGAAAATGAACACGGTGGTCTTCCATTACAGGCTCTGCAAGGCCAGAGTTTGCGTGCGCACAGCTGGATGCAGACTGAGCCAGCCCAGAGCAGCTCATGTTGGCAAAAGCATAACAGACTGGCTCCAGGAGGACGCATCCTGAAGTGGCTCACACACACGTCAGCGCCGGCGGAGCGTAACACGGAGGTCAAGCACAGCACTCAGGAACCAGAGGGAGTAGCTCAAATCCCCCCCTACCCCTCCGTAACCCTGAAACCCGGGGCAAGATTCTCAAGCTCTCTGTGCCTCAGTTTCTCCATGTGGAAAAAGGAAGCACCGCTAACCCATAGAGTGGCTGCGAAGGCGATGTGACTAGGGTGTAGGTAAGCACTTGGATGACAGTGCTGACACGTCACAAGTGCATGATAAGTGGCTGCTATTATTAAACGAACCGAAATCAAAACAGACACAAGGAGCTCAGACAAGGCCGAGCAGATGCAACCGTGCCTGAGCGGACGTCACTGGCGTCAAGCCAGTCAACACAGCTGAAACCCTCGTAGTCCCTCTCACACCTCTCGGGTCAACTGGTGCTAAAGCCAGAGTCAATCCAGCACAAGGTCTGGAGTCACGTGGCCTGTGGTCAGAGGTCAGGAACCTCTCTGGGTGCACCTTGGGCAGGAACAAAGGCCCCATACACGTCCCGGGGTGAGCGGTGATGTGCAGGCGAGGGCGGTGCAAGAATGCCCCTAAGAGAGACCAAGACAGAACCTGTGGGAAGCACACCTGCTAAAAAACACGCAAACTGCTTCGGTGGGTCAAGGTTCCAGTGTTAGACATCATGCTCGTCGTGATTAGACAAGACACGGGGTCTGAGGACACTCATAGTTCAGGGACGAGAGTACAGTGGGGACTTCGTGAAGGTGATCCTGCCCAAGCCACCCCTACCCCCGGCCCAGGGAAGGGGCGCAACTCCTCAAGGCCAATAGCTGAGTGAGCAGCAGGCTGAGGTGAGAGACCCCGCTGGGAGGTTTGGAGCTTCCAGTGAGAGACCAGAAGTGGGGGGCTATTGTAAGGCAGCTCCCCCCAAAGGTGATAAATGCCCAAATTCTTAAAGGTTCCTAGCCACCCTGTCCCTTACCTTTCCCCACTCCACGGGCGCTCTCTCCAGGGGACCCCAGTATTACATGCCAGCCACCCTATGTCTCCTAATGGTGGGGGCAGATGCTAGGGAGGAGTAGAGGGGAGCTGGATCTCCTGAACTCACAGTGGGGTGGGCAGAAACCCTTCTATAGTAGGAGTCAGAAGTTGGGAAGATGGGGGTGTCCCAGGGGAGTGCCACCACGTGGCTGCCTGGATGCAGGTGTGCCTGGGTAGAGAGGAGTGCAGGTCAAGGGCCTGGGTGGTAGTCCGGGGCCTTCAGAACCAGTGCCGGCTCTGCCTCTGACGTGCCCTGTGACTTGAACAGGTCTCCACTGCCTCTGGGTCTACTAACCCGTATCTGAAGTGAGGGTGAGTCCCCCATGGTCACCGAGGGCTCTAAGCTCTAAGAAAGATCTTGTTCAGTCCAATGCTCTTGTTTTCAACTCAAGAAGTAGAGACAGAGGGGGAGTCGCTGGGTCACAGTCCACAGCCATGGGAGAGGTAGGGAGCTTTCCTCGCCTTCCACCTACTATGTGCTGGACAAACCCCCTCTGCAAGGACTTCCTACATCCCAACAAGCACAAATGTGTGCGCTTCTGCTGTGGGCACCTTCTATGGGCTGGTCACTTGATAAGGATCATCTCATTTACCTCCAACAATCCTCTGAGGCATTGTCATCCCCATTTCACTGATGAGAAAACTGAGTCCCAGAGACGTGACTCACTCAGACATGACTATTGGAATCCCTGTCTCTAGGTCCCCCAGGGCAGAAGGCAGAAAGAGGAGGAAATGCCAGAGATCAAAATTTCCATAGAGACGTGCCCCAGAACCAACTTGCGTGGACAAGGGCTGGGGGCCAACTCAGACCCAGAGGAAGCTGGGAGGATAGTGCCTCGCTGATTCATTTTAAAACTATTAGATGTATTTCAGTTTTCATTCTTTTATCCTTGCAGATGCATACATCTACGTGACACATACAGTAAAGATTCTCACGCTGACTGGTGTGTCTCATTTACCCTACCTTAGCCCTTGTCCTCACCCTCGACAGGTCACTGCTTTTTATTAGCAGCTCATGGCATCTTTCAGTTTCTTTATGCCAGCACGCCCTTTTTACATAAAAGGTAACAAATAGAGCCTCAGCAAATAGAGCCTCCTCCTTCCTTTATGTCACTGCATAATATCCTATCTTATACATGGAAAGAATTAACTCAATTCCCTATTGATGGATGTTTGAGTCATTTCCAGGTTTTGTGGGGTCGTTTTTTGTTTGTTGTTTGTTAATATCACAGCAATACTGTAGTAAATAATCACACAATATTGTTTCATTTGTGTGCATGTATATTTGCAGAATAAATTCCACCAAGTGAGTTATGGGTATTATAGTAGTTTCTATAGCTGCACAGCAAATTCCCACAACCCCCGAAACTTAAACAACACCCCTTTGCTGTGCACAGTCTGCAGGTCAGAAGCCCAGCGTGATGTGGCTGGGTTTGCTACTCAGGCTTTGGCGGCTCATTCCTGTCACTACAGATGTGGTTTCTTGCTCATTGGTTTCTTTCCAGGGTCTTGTTGAAACTGAGGTCTCTGGTTTCTTGCTGGTCACCCGCTGGGCGCTCTCTCGGCTCCCAGACAACACCATTCTTTCCCATAGAGTTTTCTCCACATGACAAGGTGAGTCCTTAGGCTCAGCTCTCTGAGTTCTGAGACCAGTCAGAGAAATTCTCTGCTCAGCCCACTCAGGGTAACCTCTTGTCCTTAACATCAGTTGATTCAGGACTTCATATCTGCAAAATTTCTCTTGCTGCATATGGAATGTAATCATGGAGTCCCACCATATTCCTAGAGTCTGCCATCCTGCCTGGGATCACGCACAGGTAAGTCACGAGGGTTGGGTCAGAACTCTGCCCAACAGAACTAGCTGTCTTGATAGAAACTGCTGTCTTCTCTGCTCCAGGTTTTGTGCCCCAGAATCTCCCTCCCCTCACACTATGATCTTGTCTGCTTTTCCACAGTATCAACCAGAAAATGTTTTCATACTTCTGGATTTCTGCCAATCTGATAGGCGAAAAATGGAATCTCAAATATTTAAAATTTGTGGTTATCTTCTTATGGATCAGGCTGAGAATTTCTTCAAAAGCTTAAAGCTGTTTCTATTTCTTTTTCCTTATGGTTTCTGGTTTTGAGTCATAGAAAGGTCTTTTTAGCTCCAAAGTTAATCAGAAACCCTGCTGGTTTTCTTCTGGTGCTTTTCTGGTTTCATCTTTGGTTCACTGGTTGTTAGAACTGGAAGCTTCTCTTGTCATTTTCCCAACAGCAAGTGTAAAGATGAATCTCAAAGGCTTGGGGTTTGGGGTAGAGAAAGGAGCCTCTGAAACCCCAGCTGGGCTGTTGGTGGGAGGCAGGGTTGGTGGGAGTTTTCTGATGGAGGCTATCAGAAAGCTAAGGGAGGAGTTAGCATCTGATATGACTCTCAAAATGAGAGGAAATGTAATTTTAATAATGGGGGAAGGGATACAACAGGAACAAAGATAGGAGGGTGGAAAAATCAACCGAAGTCTAACCTACAAAGAAGTATTTGGTGAACCGTAAGGTCCTCAAGGGAAGGAACAAGGTATGATTTTCTTCTGTGCATTAGCCAGAGTTTGACAATGAAATGAAGCAGAGGGAACATGGGACTTCAAATCATCCTCCCATTACTCTGACAGTGAGAAGCCAAGACTTTCCAAGAAGCCTTTGGTGGTGCTGTCATCTCTGCACATCACTGCCCCTTTGTGGCTGACATGGGAATTCCCCTTGACTTGCCTCAGGTATCAGGTCCAAGCCTACTAAGTCCTGGAACTGTAGGTAAAGGTGAGGCTGAATGGGTGTCAGAGGATTGAAAAACCATGAAATCCCGCACTGAGAATGTTTGAATATACGGGCCCTCAGAGACCATCTGGTCTGGCCTCTTCATTACATATGGAGAAACAAGTCTCAAAGAGAGTACCAGGTTGTGCGGGGAGTAAATTAAGAGAGGGCACTAGGCTTTGTATAAGATAGTTCTCAGTGTGCAGTCTGGCTTTATCTATTACTGGTTGCAAGAACTGCAAACATGACTTCATCTCTATCACCCCCATTTTCCATAGAGTCTTGGATCTGGCAGACTTTTCTGGTAATATCAAGTTAAGTTACTTAGATCAGTTCTTCCATTGAAAACAACCAAAATGTTGATATGTTGGGATAAGCAGAGGATAAGAAGTTACCTGAACAACTTGAATTCTTGAATTCTTGATTTGTGATTCCCCTGTGCAAGGGACACATGAAAATCTAGAGTGCACAATGAAGGATCGTATAGAAAACTTTCTTGACAACAAATTGGGATCCCAAAGAGCCATTGCCCCAGAAGTAAACAAGCCCCACTACTTGCAGCCTTAGTTTGTATCTGCTGGGTGGTTTGCAACCTCAAGTCTTTAACTGGGATTGAGGTGACACCAGACTGTGCCTCCAGGTCCCTGGAAAATGCAAATGGAAATATTCTTTGGAGGGACATGACTTCATCTTCCCTTCACCTATCCAAACTGATCACACAAATAAAGTTTCAAGTATAATGGCAAGCACATAATAAAATATAATCAGACATGCAAGAAAATAAGATCTCATGGCAAGGACAAGAAAATATAAGAGGCAGGGCCTCCCAGGTGGTGCAAGGGTTTAGTTTCTCAGCACTGTGAAACTATTTTCAGCCACTGCAGTGTGACTTGGATCCCTGGTCAGGGAGCTGACCCACGTGGTGCAGCAGACCTCTCCTGTCTCTCTCTCTTCTCCCCTCAGCAGTGTATTTAGTCAATCTGCCTGTTCTGCTCCCCACTCTGCGGGGAATCCTCTCAGCCTCCTGCACCTCTGGCCTACACCCCAGCTCTTGTATGGATAAGTAAATAAAATAAATCTTTTAAAAAATAAGATATAAGCAGCAACAAAAATATACCTATAAAAAATTCAGACACACGACTTATTTTTACACATACTATAAAATGACCGTGTTTAAGTAAATAAAAGACTAACTTGTACAGGGAATCGAGGGAGACAATAGAAGCTTCAAAGAGCCAAATTGAGGGTCTCCCCAGTGGCGCAGCGGTTGAGCGCTGGGTTGCAAAGCTGCCCGCAGCCTCTGCAGCGCCGGTTCAATCCCCGGCTGCTCCCCGGCCACCGGAGGAGGGTCCCACATGGCGCGCAGACCTCTCCTGCCGCCCGCTGCTCCCCTCAGCAGTGTACTTTGGTCCTTCTGCCTGCTCTGCAACCCGCTCTGGCTCTGGTGAATTCTCTCACCCTCCCGCGCTTCTGACTGTACCCAGTGCATGTATAAACAAAACGAATGAACAAATAAATAAATAAAAACATGCCTCTAAAAAAATAAATATATATATATATATTAAAAAAAAAACAACAAAGAGCCAAATTGAACTGCTAGAAACAAATAATATAATAACCAAAATTAAGAAGTCAATGACAAGGTTTTTTTTTTATTTTTAAAAGATTTATTTATTTATACAAGAACCAGGGTACAGGCCAGATGTGCGGGAGAGTGAGAGGATTCACCAGAGACAGAGCGGGGAAGAGAACAGGCAGACTGATGAAATACACTGCTGAGGTGAGCAGCAGGTGAGACAGGAGAGGTCTGCTGTGCCATGTGAGACCCTTGCCAGCTGGCCGGGATCGAACCGGCACTACAGAGGCTGCAGACAGCTTCACAGTGCGGTGCTCAACTGCCTACACCACCAGGGAAGGCCCTCAATGACAAGTTTAAGGCAGATTGGACATGGCTGAAAAAAGAACTGGTGAACTGGGAGAAAGATCAGAAGAAACAATTGGAATGAGCATAGGGAGACATAAAGTTTAAAAATAATACAGACGGAAGGGTAAAAGACATGGAAAATAAATAAGAAACATCTGACAGGCTTATTTGGAACCTCAGAAGGAATGAAGACAGAGAATGAGACAGAGGTAATATTTGAAGCATCATTGGCTGAACTGGTGAAAGATATTAATCTACAGATTCAAAAAAGCCAATTAATGCCAAGCAGGATAATTTTTCTTTAACTTACACCAAGAAAACACGATATACTATATGGCTCCACCTATATTATACAAAGGTATCCTGCATTGCTCTCAGCCATTGATAATAATGCTATTGACTAGAATGCCTGGGGACATTCACCTGTATCTTGTTGAGTTTCCCAAAGATATTTTAGCTGTCAAGCCAATATTCCATTAGGATGGGCCTTTGGAGTTCTTTTTATGACTATAAGATGTTCTTCAGCAATAACCATCAGGAAACTTTGAAAAAAATAGAGGTTTATTACCTACAATGCCTGGAAAATTACACATTACACCTGGGCCCTATTGAGATTGGGGCGGGGAGCTCACAAGTCTGGAGTTCAGCTTTTGTTGAGCCAGCACTGTCTTTCTTCCAGCTGGCCCTCATTGAAGTGAATGACTCAGCATTAAAGCTTCAGTCAGGCACCTGCATTTGGAGAAGAAAAGCCAAATGTCGAGATTCACATTACAAAAGGCAAAACCAGTAAAAATAAACCAGAGACAGTAAAAATATCAATGGTTACCAGAGGTTTGTGGAGAGGGAAGGTGAATAAGTGGAGCACAAGGACATTTTATAGTAGTGAAATTATTTTGCATGATACTATAATGGTGTATACATGTCACTAAACACAGGGAGCATCACCTTGGGGTTAGCAAAAGTTGGGTTCTTAGAACCCAAAAAGCATTACCTATTAAAAAAATTATAAATTAGATTTCATCAAAATTAAAAATTCATGTTCCCAAGAGACATCTTTAAGAAAACAAATGGGTAAGCCACAGACATGGAAAAATATTCACAATACTTATTAATATCTAATCAAGGACTTGCATTCAGAGTACATAAAGAACTAATGCAATATAAAAAAGACAAACAATCCAATTAGAAATGAGCAAAGGATTCATGGTAGACATACACTCGTGGTTTCCCATGAGCTATGCCTCCTCATATATGCCCTGGCCTTCTAGCGGACTCTGGGCTTGGACACGAGATGTATCCTAGCATGATAGATAAGCGTTGTTGCTAGCACAATGCAAGAAGATAAGCTCTCACACATTGGGTTTCATCTTCTCCAAATACCCCATCTTGGAACACCGAGCCACCATGTAAAATGATCTGGTTATGTCAATGTACACAATATCCAAATACAGCAAAATACAGAATATGTATGATTTCAGGAACTCTGTCATTTCCACCAACAGTGGAGAGAGATGCTTGGTCAGCGTCTTGCTGTTTAAGCCTTTGCTGTTCCAGACATCCCAGCAGGGGCATCAGCCATGTATGTTAAGTTCTCTTTGATTTTCAGCCACACTGAGCCTCCAGATAACTGTAGCTAGCATCTTATGAAGCAAAAGTACTGCTCAGAACAGCCCAGAGCAGAGTGCAAAATATTGAGCAAATAAATGGCTTTGTCTTAACCACTAACTCTTTTGGTAGTTTGTTATACAGTAAAAGATAAGTAAAGTTAAGACTTAGACATTTCGCAAAAGAAGATAAATAAATGGCCAACATAAGTTGTTAAAGAACTTCCAAGTCAAATGGCAATGAAATAACATTTCACATTATACCCCTAGAATGGCTGAAATAAAACAGTATTAACTCTTGGTAAGGTTTTAGAGCAACTGGAAATGGTCTGCATTGCTGATGAGCATGTAAATGAGCACACCACCTCAGAAAATTTTAATCGTGTCTTAGAAAGCTAAACATTCATCTACCTTATGACTAGCAATTCGATTCCTAGGTATTCCCCGGAGATACCTGGATTGATTGCTGATCTGGGGCAGGAAATGTACACAATGAGGGAGAGAAAAACACTCTAACATAAATCACCAACCACACATCACCTATACAAGTAGGCTTGTGCCCCCAAATTAAATATGAATCTGATTAAACCTTTAGATCCAACTACCAATTTGCAGAAAACTCAGAGGAACAGTCTACCTACACCATGGGGATGCAATTAGCAGTGGCTGTGGCAAACTATCTAACACAAATGACTCCTTCATTAACAAATAAATTACATCAAGAAGAAAAAGGTAGAGCCTCTCTGGTGGAGCAAGGGGTTAAGACACAATCTATGAAACTATCCGCAGCCGCTGCAGCACAAGTTAGATCCCCAGCCAGGGAGAAACCCACATGGCGCAGCAGAACTCTTTCTTTAAAAAAAAGATTTATTTATTTATGCATATAAGAACTGGGGAACAGGCCAGAGGTGCGAGGGTTGAGAGGATTCACCAGAGACAGAGTGGGGAACAGAACAGGCAGATTGACCAAAGTACACTGCTGAGGGGAGCAGTGGACTAGCCAGGAGAGGTCTGCTGCCCCATGTGGGTTGCTCCCTGGCCAGCCGGGTATTGAACTCAGGCTGCAGAGGTCGCAGATTGCTTCATAGTACGGTGTTTAACCCCTTGTGCCACCAGGGAGGCCCAATAAATAAATCTTTAAAAAAAAAAGAAGAAAAAGGTGAACAGAGAACCAAAGATTTTTTTTTTTAATGTCAAAACGGTAAAACAAACAAGCAAAATCCAGCAAAGTGAGAGGCTGACTGGAACTCCTGGAGGCCAAGGGTGGGCAGGGGCTGGAACTGGGAGGGTGCAGGTGTGGTTCTGGCGTGAATGGCTAAGGGTGTATCTTCAGACAGGCGTGGTGCTATCTACTTTATTACAATTCATTAATCATCATGTTTTATGTGGCTTTCTGTGATGGTGATGTATTTATAATTTTTTGTATATTAAAATATATAAAAAAGATTTTAAAAAATCATCCGTAAGATGTTTTAAATATGCAGATTCCCACTCCCAGAGATTCTAATAGTGTCCTTGAAGGAGGTTCCTCAAACTGCTACCTTTATGAAATTCCCAGGTGTTTTTCATTTTCTTTTTAATTAACTTTTTGAGTAACTTTTTCCTACATTCTTGTTAATTTTTTGGCAGTATGGAATTTCTTCCCTCAGGTGTGGTCCTCCTCCTGTACTCCTCCACCATGGTCCATTATGCTCCCCACCACCCCCTCCTCCTGGATGCCTCAGATCTATGATCAGCTTTCAAGGTTTGTCTTTGACCCTTTGTTTTTTCTATATTCTACATATAAGTGAAACCCTCTGGTATTTATTTCTCCTTCTGATTTATTTTGCTTAGCATAATCCCTTCCAGCTCCATTCATGTTGCTGCAAATGGTGTGAGTTTATCTTTTTCGATCACCAAGCAGTATTCCGTTGGGTATATAGACCACATCTTCTGGATCCATTTGTCTATTCTGGGGCATTTGGATTGTTTCCATAGCTTGGCTATTGTAAGTAGTGCTGCAATAAACATAGTTCAGTTTTCCTTTCAAATTAGTGGTTTTTAGTGTCCTTTGGGGAGATACCTAGGACTAGAATTGCTGGGTCATGCGGCTCCTCCATTTTTATCTTTTGAAGAACCTTCACAAAGCTTTCCATAGGGGCTGGAGAGTCTACATTTCCACCAACAGTGTAAGAGGGCTCCTTTTTCTCATACCCTCACCAGCATTTTTTTCTGTCGTTGTCGTCGTTTTAAATATGAGCCATTGGCCTCCCTGGTGGTGCAAGGGGTTAAGCACCACACTATGAAGCAATCCACAGACTCTGCAGTATGAGTTCAATCCCGGCCGGCCAGGGAGAAACCCACATGGCACAGCAGACCTCTCCTGACTTGCCTGCTGCTGCCCTCAGCAGTGTATTTCAGTCAGTCTGCCTGTTCTGTTCCCCACTCTGTCTCTGGTGGATCCTCTCACCCCCGCCCCCACATTTCTGGCCTGTACCCCAGCTTTTGTATACATAAATAAATCTTTAAAAAAATATAAATATGAGCCATTCTCACAGGTGTGAGGTGGTATCTCATTGTAGTTATTAATTTCCCTGATCATGTGATGATGAACATTTCACATATGCCTGTTGGCCATCTGCATGTCTTCTTTGGAGAAGTGCCTATTCAGCTCTCTTGCCCATTTTTGGATTGGATTGTTTTGTTTTTGTTGAGTTGTATGAGCTCTTTGTAGATCATCGCTATCAGTCCCTTATCAGTTATAGAGTGTACAAATATTTCCTGCCATTCAGTAGGTTTTGGTTAGTGTCTCTTTCATTGTACAGAAGCTTTTTAGTTTGATGTAGTCCCAGTTGTTTATGTTCTCCTTTGTTTTCCTTGCTGCTGGAGAGGAGCCTTCAAAGACGTTTCTAACGTTTATGTCAACAAATGTTTTCCAGATTTTTTTTTCCAAAGCGATGAAGGATGCATTTAGGGAAACATTGATGAAGGTATTTGGTTGCCGGGAGGATTTCAAAAAGGAACAACAGGTTGAGTTGTCACTTCAGGAGGAGATCTCTCTGGGCAGCACGGTGACCCAGGCACAGGTCAGAAGAGAGATGCCGGTAACATTCCATTTCAAAAATGACTTTTATTGAGCATTCACTTTGAGTTAGTGTTCCCATTTTATATCTTGTTTACTATCAAATGTCTATATAAGATAGAAGTCATGGGCCTCCCCGGTGGCGCAGTGGTTGAGTGCTGGGTTGCAAAGCTGCTCACAGCCTCTGCAGTGCCAGTTTGATCCCCGGCTGCTCCCTGGCTGCTCCCTGGCCGCCGGAGGAGGGTCCCACATGGCGCGCAGACCTCTCCTGCCACCCACTGCTCCCCTCAGCAGTGTACTTCGGTCCTTCTGCCTGCTCTGCTCCCCGCTGTGATTCTGGTGAATTGTCTCACCCTCCCGCGCTTCTGATTATACCCAGTGCTTGCATAAATAAATAAAAATAAATCTTTAAAAAATAAATAAATAAATAATAAATTTTAAAAAAGATAGAAGTCATTTTACATGTTATTGAAATATATCATCCTGTCAGAGTATATTGACTCAAAATCATAATAAACCATGCATCTATAATGATTTTTTTAAAGAAAAATTCTGAAACGTTTAATATAACCCTCTTACAGGAAAATGCTCACTGTTTATCATTATGGTCAATAATTGTTTTTTCAAAACACATAAATAAAGTATTAGGAAAAATACAGAATACGTATGATTTCAGGAACTCTGAGAATTTCCTGGAATTCTCATATCTCATACCCAGATCTCAAAGATTAGTTAATATCTTTTGGAATTTGAAAACATTCTTTGAAGTTTCATCTCTGTAACATTTCTCAATTGTGCTTCTCATCCCTTCTCCAGACGTAGAAAAACTTATTTCATTTTGCATTGACGCTGGTTGAATTAAGAGTGTGTCCAAACACATTTTCATGTTGGGTATTAGCGTACACATTGCTTCATAATACTTCCTTTTAATGATGACAATCTTTTGCTTTAAAAAGAAATGTAGTCTCCAGGAAATATCCAAACACATCAGAATACCAGGTAACATAATTGGGCAGTATTCAAATAACATGTCAAAACTGCCACTTTAGGGACTTATTTTGCTTCTGAAACTTATTATTTCTTAGAACACCACTCATAGGATTTCAATAAAGCATACGCATACTGTGTGTGTGTATTTACATACATTCATTTTATTTGAATGACTCAGCATTAGCTGCAGACAAACACACATTTATAATATGGCAACAAATATAAGCAAGACTGATGACCTACTTCCAGGTGTTGCAGGTGTTGGCAATGTTGACCTTGACCTTTGACCCCTGTGTGCCAGTATTTCCTGCTCTAGCTTTTGAATGTCAAACCAGTAACTCCTGTTGATTGTTAAACTTTAATTTTCGCAGGAGAATAATCATAGTTTTTCCTACCACTGAGTTGGGGTCACGGAAGTCAAGATAGGAGTGAGCTTCCAGGAGGAAGTGGTCAGCAGTGTGAGTAACACAGCAGTGAGAGAGGATGTTAACTGATTGAGTGATCAATGGTAGGACACTCCAGAGAGCACTTTCTGTGCTGAGCCCTGCATGTTCTCCATGGAGAGCCATGGACTAGCGCCTCAGTGGAATCTTCCTGTCCTAGAGTGCACCCAAATCTTTCAGAGCTGCAGGATGTTTTCCTCTTGCTGGAGTGGGTGTCTTTCCCTAGGCCTCCCTGACACTAGGTCTCCTTGTTATGGAGAAATGAGTTTCCACCTGATGTGCATGGATCAAAGGAGGACACCAGGCTTTTGAAATGAGAAATCAGCTTTATTTCAACTCAACTGGCAAGGAAGGAGTTCGGAGATAGACTCAAATCTACTTTCCAGATTAAGAAAAGAAATGATGTTATATAGTTTTGGGGGACCAGAGTTGAAAACTAAGGAGTTACATTTTCTTGGCTGAAAAACAGGCTGAGGCAGAGAAAGGTGGACTTGGCTGAAGTTCATTGACTAGTCGCAGGGCACCTACACGAAGTATGAAGACACCTGGAATTTAGAATTTTCCTAGGTTTGGCCCTTCCCCTGGGGAGCCCCATCATCTGCATTCCCAGTTTCCAGCTGGCCTTGGAGCTCAGCTCAAGGTTGTTTGCTCCTACTTGCTCAGATTATGTGAGATAAATTGTATCTATAAATACAAGCACCAAAGCAAAAATTAGACAAGGTTTGAATTTCCCCCCTCTGTTACTTTAGAGTCTGAGACCAATTTAATCATTAGCCTCAGTTTCATCCTCAAATGTCATCTCTCCACCACCCTCTCCAGTCACTGTCTTTTGATTCCTTCACAGCACTCATCAAGATCTATCATCTGGTTTATTTGCTTAGTATCTGTCCTCCCTCTTCTACCACATGAAATGTCAGATTTATTAGAGTAACTGTCTTATTTCCTGCTAAATCCCAGTGCCTGGAACAGTGTCTGGCACCAAGCAGGAGTTCGGTGACTATCAGAGGAATTAACAGATGAATGGGTAGAGCAGGCAAGTGCAGATGGCTTTTCAAAATCACCTCTCTGGGCTTCCACTTCCTCACTGTCAAATGTGCGGGAGAACTAGCTAACCCTTTGCAACAGCCTCTGTTTGGATGCAACACTCATAATGGTCAGTAGGTGGCAGCAAGTCCCCATGGTTGAACGGGAACAAAGCCGGCTCAAAGCCGGCTCCAACCCGCACAAGGAACACCTGCAGTTTAATCCCCAATTGGCCAAATTGGCTTATTTTCACCACCTGGGATGCAAGGGTTTCTTAAACATAGTGTGCTCCATTCATCCCCTCTGGATCCCACTCCAGCAACCTCCCTTCACTTTGAAACCCTCTGGGGCTTCATTTGTTTACCATTAAGGTAAACAAAATGCCAATGTCTCTTGCATCTGAATAACACCTCTGAGGGGTAGGGCTGGATGTTTCCACCTTCAATTTTCAGGCAGTAAGGAGAAGGCAAATGAGTAGCACAGGATCTGAAGACTGGGTTCCCTGGGGAGTTGCAGCCCATCCCTTCTCCTGGGAGAAGATTCTCTGGAGGAGAATCCTCTTTAATGCAAGGACACTTGGAGATTCTTCTGTGTTGCCTCAGCAACACCACAGTGATTAAAAAAAAAAAAAAAAACAGGAGTCGTGGAACAAGCTGTAGATTGCAGGATGCTCGATGCAGGATGCCACTCAAGAGAAAGATCCTGGCCTTTTTATTGACAGAGAATGGTGGGTCGAACTGAACACTGGATTTGGGGCTTTAGGGAGGACGAGTCCAATGATTTACACCTGACCTCCACCCATGGCTCCAGTCTTATTAACAAGGCATTCTACTGATCAGTTCCTGGGGTGCAAAGCACATCAGTATTGCCCCAGGGCAACCAAATGTCCTGCTCTTGTCTAACTTGAAAGGAGCCTTGTACTCTACACCCAGAGGGTACTTCCCCCCTAGACCTGGGGATTCATGCAGACACCCCTCCACACACACACACACACACACACACACACACACACACACACACTACAGCTGCAGCACTTGGCCTGGGACACTTCATGACAAAACCCCAAGCCCCAGGGCGGCCTCAAAGCAGGGGGGCCACAAGTAACCTCATTTCTCATTTTTCCCCTTTCAACAAATGGGTGCCGCAGGCCCAGGGTGGGGCCGCAACCCATCAAGGGCTCCCCCCAGGCCAGGACGAGATCCCAGCTCTTAGGCCTGCAGCTCTTTCAGCCTCCCTCTCCTGATCCGGCTGCTGCCAACCCCAGTGCTTGGAGGATGTGAGCAGCTGCCCACTCATCCTCAGGCTGGCCCCCAAACTTGGCTCAAGACGTGCACTTTGTTTCTGGGTTGTCAGCCCTGTCCCACTGATTTTCCTCTTCTGGATTTCTAACAGGAGGTGGAGGCAGACAGGCCTTGATCTGCGGCCTGCATCTCACATCTATGACATCCATTTATTTATTCTATATTTACTGAAGCAAAGTCTATGCCAAGTCATACTGGTGAGCATCGCTGGTCACACAACGGAAACACTCAGTACCACTGAATTGTACACTCAAAAAGGGCTAAACTGGTAAATTTGATGTTATGTATATTTTACTACAGGCTGAAAAGACAAACAAGCCTGGTCCACCTGGAGCCCCTGGGCAGAGACAAGAGCTTATTGAGGGCTGACTCTCATGGACTTTATACCCACCCCCACCCCTGCCTTTATTCCCCACCACCAGCTCCATCTACTACTGGTGGCAGCAGACAGGAGGTTAAGAGGAGCTGGGTACCTAACAATCAAGCCCACACATCAAGGGCATACATCAAGAGTTTCTCACCCCCTGGTTCAAAGTGATCTGGGATTCCAGATCCAGCAAATGCAATTCCAAATATTTTAGGGTCAACCAAATAGGGGCTGACCTGCCTTGGGATGAGGCTGCACTTTGTTTTTGATGTCAATGAGCCAGAAGTCATGAGATACCAGGAGTCCTTTGTTCACTGTTAATTGCAATGCAAACTGCTACCCACATTCTCTTGCTCCTTGTCTGAAGGTAGAGACTCCAGTGCCCCTACAGCATCAGATCGGGAGCTGTTATAGAAGCCAGCAGGGGTTTTAACCACCACCCAGAGCCAAACCTCTCCTGGAGCATTATAAATGAGGGAACAGAGGGCTTAAAGAGTACCCGCCTTTCATTGTTTCACTCCAAGTGAAAGTTCAGGGACTGTGGTTACGTGCAGATTCCTTTTACCCAATCGGGAACACTGGCGTACAAGCTCTTTGAAGACGTGGACATGGCCAGAGCACTTAGCAGGAGTGGCTGACAAAGGGACCTGACAGAGAACATTTGAATATCACACAACTCCCCAGCAGAATGACAGTTTCAACATAGAGCCTTGAACCCACATAATTCTCTTTCTCATCATAGATCTTCAACTGACTTCACAGAGGGAAGCTATGGTCCTTGCCTTGGGGCGCTGTGGTCCTTGCCTTGGGGCGCTGCAGTCCTTGCCTTG